AACATCCAACCCCCGCGGTAACATCCTATCACGTGTTTCATCTTCCAACAATTATTCAATCCTTTCGCCCATGAGTCCTACTTATTGGCCAACATCCCTCAAAAAACGTCCCGATATCCTAGATATATTTATAACTTCTCAGATCTCCTCCTCACAAACCATAATCAAATCCCTTGATGACCTTTCTTCAGACCATAGTCCAGTTCTACTTTCACTACATTCGAGCTATGCTCCTAAACCATCACCTCCTAAATTGATCACAGGACGAGTGAACTGGGACCAATTTCGTGAAGATTTGGAAAACAAACTAGACTTAAAAATTCCGCTAAAGACAAAAGAGGACATTAATGGTGCCATTGAAAAACTGACAGCATCAATAACAGAAAGTATAAATAATAACACTTTTATCAATAAGTTCAACAATTCACAAAAGACTGACTTGCCGCAGCATATTCGTATCTTATTGAAGGAAAAACGCAGAGCAAGATCGAAGTGGCATAGAACCAGATATCCAACAGATAAAACTCACTATACCCAACTGACTAACAAACTAAAATCTGAAATTAGAAAATACAAGATTCAAAATTTACTAAACTTTACTGAAAAACTTACACCTACCGACAAATCACTATGGACGACCACTAAAAGGCTCCTGAAATTTAAAGACTGTAATCATCCACTTCTTACTGAAGCTCAAACCTGGTCCAAATCCGATGAAGAAAAATCACAAATCTTTGCTCATCACCTCTTTAAAACCTTTAATCCACACCCTGATATTCATAACCCAAATCACCTTGAATGTATTGAAGCAGAACTGGATATCCCACTCCAAATGTCTCTTCCACCTAAAGCCTTTCATCCTTCAGAAATATCCGACATCATTCAAAGGTTACCTTCCCGAAAAGCTCCTGGACACGACCTAATTACATCCCAGATCCTAAAACTGCTTCCTCGGAAAGCCATCCTATTCCTTACGTATATATATAATGCTGTTCTGCGAACCACATACTTTCCTAACCCTTGGAAATTATCTATTATCAAAATGATACATAAACCCAAAAAGCCACCAGAAAACCCATCCTCTTATCGCCCTATCTCCCTTTTACCCATCCTAGGCAAAATCCTGGAAAAGCTCATCCTAAAACGCCTGCACCCCATCCTAGATTCTAATCACATTATCCCAGATCATCAATTTGGATTCCGCAGATCCCATTCCACTATCCAGCAATGCCATCGTGTGGTGGATGTTGTCTCCTCTGCATTGGAGCGCGGAATGTACTGCACGGGAGTCTTTCTCGATGTAGAACAGGCTTTTGATCGAGTCTGGCACCCAGGACTGCTTTACAAACTCCGTAAATTCCTACACCCTACATACTTCCTCATTATCCGTTCCTATCTAACTGATAGATCCTTCAAAGTAAATCATAATAATGCCTATTCATCCCTTTTTTCCCAGTCCGCTGGTGTTCCTCAAGGTAGTATCCTAGGTCCTATCCTTTACACAGTTTATACAACTGATATCCCAACCCATCCTAACACTGTTATTACCACGTATGCCGATGATACATGTGTCCTATCAATTAATAACGACCCAACAATTGCATCCCAAACCCTTCAATCACACATCACAAACCTTGAAGAATGGTTTCAAAACTGGAGGATCAAAATAAATTCCAATAAATCCCATCAAATCACGTTTACCCTTCGTCGTAAACCTATGTCCTCTTGTCCTACAGTATCCTTTAATAATACCCCACTTATCCCTGTTGAACAAATTCGATACCTTGGACTCCACTTAGACAGACGTCTAACTTGGAATCCTCATACCAGACTGAAACGACAAGAAACAGCTCGACGTTTCCGACTACTCCAGCACTTACTAGACAAACGCTCTAAGCTCCCAGTCAATTACAAAAGACTCATATACATGACTACAATAAGACCTATTTGGACTTACGGAATTGAGCTCTGGGGCTCCACTAAGCCATCGAATTCCTCTCGCATCCAATCCTTACAATCCAAAATCCTTCGTAAAATCCTCACAGCTCCTTACTTTGTCACAAACAAAATCATTCATAACGACCTTAATGTTCCTTATGTTTCTGACCTGGCCCAATCCAGATACCTTTCCTTCCATAATAAACTTCAGAACCATCCTAACCCTCTCGTTTCTAACCTTGCCTCCTTTTCGATACCTGACAACCCTCCGAGGCGTCTGAAAAGAAGATGGCCTCGAGATCTCCTTTTGTAAATACATTTTTAGAGTGCTACCAGTGGGTAGTTTCTCACTCAATGATTTCATGTTATTATATTCTATTGTACACATTTACTGAATGTATTTTTACTTGTAATACAGTTGTAAATATCATTAATAAATAAATAAAAATAAATAAAAATTTGCTTCCGTGTCGTATAGATAAAGACAATACATTAGTTGTTTTTATTATATCCACACAATGAAGGTACCGATATTTCAAACAAGTGGCGCCCTTTGAGTTAATTCTGAAACTCGATATACGGAAGATAATGCTCAGCTTGTGTTGAGTACTTAGGATGAAAACATATCTGCAGCTCTTCCAAGTATGCGGCACCCTTAGATATTTTTTTATATACACGCAAGCCTCAGTGTGCCTTTTTTTTTCTTTATTTCCTCGTTTAAATGTTCTCTTAAATGTTAAATGTTCTGATGGCGTTATTTGCGCAATGCAACCGCTCTGTGGGTACCCCTGGTTATTATCATGTTTATTTGCGCGTAACAGATATTGAGAAACGTCGACATATATTAATTGCTAAGAGCCTCAAGTGTCAATTATTGTTTGTTAATTATTGATCTAGACATCTCAATAAATTTTTTCGAACAATTTTCAAAGATGGGTGGAATCGAAAACTTTGAAGTAGAAGATATACGTACAATATATCGTTGAGTTAACGAATCAGAGGCAGTGAAGACTTTATAAGTAATGATTTTATTCATAATGTCATTTACAAATGGCATCTAACATACAAAGTAATATACTGTGGATATATGGGTTGACTACACGAGTTCACTCAGGTCTCCTACAGTGAAGATTGTGACTTCAAGAATGTAACTGCATGAGTGATTGCTCCAGAGGAGCATAGGGTTTATATGCCCTAGAATAGCAAGGGGGTGAAGGGAAGTAGGAAGAGGACGGCAAAGGAAGTTATCTATAGTTAATATTCTTAAGAAGAGGTCTGTGAAAAAGTGCCCTTTTGCTGAAATCGGTTATTGTCCCCTAAGTCTTGATAATGGGTCTAGTGTCCAGTCGGTACATTCTAAATAACTATTTCTAAGCTATCAGAGATAGCTCGACCTGGCTATCTAGGGATGCTTCATTCTTTTATCCATTGAGTCATGAGAACCGAACACATTTAACAAACTCAATTATTAAAATAAAAGTTGAAGTGATATTATTGTTATTATTATTTGTTACGGATTAAGAGCATTCCGTAACTGTTGGAAAGCGATGAATTTTAGAAAAAAACAATATCTAATATAGAAGGTTGTAGAAGTCGACGAAGAGTGGCGAAAAAAATATAAATAATAACATGTTTTCAAGGAAATTAAATGAAATTTTCTTACTAAATTAAAAACTTTTAATTTAAAGTTTGAAAAAGTATTTGAAACCCATGGATTCAATGCAATGACATTGTTTAAGATACTATTTCATTGTACTTGTGTGAAAGAAGAAGTAAAATATAAAATCGTTTCATAGATACGTTTATAACCTTAAATATATTTACTAATTATTTATTAAATATATTGTTTTATAACTTGACATTATTTTTGAATAATTAGGTATCTATCGTCCGTTTATTTCGAAAAATCATAATGTAACCTTTTACAAAATTAAATTATTGAAAAATTAGATGAATTTTCCCTTGGCGATATTCCTACGGAATCCATTTACAATTGGTGTGACAACTTTTGACCTGTCTATGACAGACAATGCAAATCTCTTAATTCCGTTTTAATAAACTTTGCAATGGAAAATAACAGTTTAATCCATAATCAACGAATCGTACGATCCATAATCAACCGGTGATATTATTTGGTAACTGCAATATTTCAGCTTTAGCTCAGTTAAAAATGCAATTCGAAGATTTTGTAATAGCACAGCATGCCCAGATAATAATTTCTATTCAAAGTTGAGCGGTAAGTGGAAGTTGTGTGTTTACAACTTATATATCTTGAGTACTAGATTTTTATTTTTGTATTGAGTGTTAATATTTTATGATAGGTGATAAATAATCACGACGCAGTCATTATACAATTTTTTTATTTATGCCAACGTTTCAACCCAAAAATGTTGGTCATCCTCAGGGCGGGGTTCGAGCACTGAAGGCTTTCCTATCCTGAGTACTTTAATAAATTTTATATTTATCACCATTATGTATAATGTTATATTTATGTATTTTTTTAGTATATGTTTATTCAGTATTTTATTACTATCTGTCTATTTAATTTCATTGATAATATTTTTTTCTATTTTTTGTACATTTTATTATAAAAGGCGATGTTATTTGTGCTAATTAAAATATGATTGTAAAACAAATGCTCTTACCTTTCAACTTTTTAAACATGTAAGGGAATATGTTATTAATTTTTTTGTTTTTTGTTAAATAATTAATCTTTGCTATGATATGTAATAATGAATTATGTAAACAGATGTAATTCATAGCCAGAAGAAACTGGTATATTCAATTTTCAATTTAAAAAAATAAATATATCCTTTACTTTTTCTAAAATTATTGGTGTTCTCATAAGTAAATATTATGTTTTTTCATTGTTGTACAAAATGTTTTAGACAATTTTATATTTCATATTTTATTCATAGCTGTCTAAGTTTTTTTGAGCTTATTAATATCCAAATCTATATAAAAATATAAAACTAAAATAATCACTTTTTTTTGTACCCATAATAATTTTATGATATACTATAAGAAAAAGATGTAGGAAATGAACAATAATAATAAGTGGATTGTGTATGTTGTCTTTAATCATAAAGAATATTTTTTTGTTTTTATCACAAAATATAAATCTATTATACACAGAAAAAATAATGAAATTTATACAATTATTTTACATTTATTACACTGGTACTTTATTACATCAAAACATTATTTTTTATTTACCAAATGTCATAATGATATTGCGCAGTCCGTCAAACTCTCATACGAGTAATACCACTCGGCGCCTGCAGCTCGCAACATTTCCACCACGTCTTGATTGCCAGCATGGGACGCCAGGAGGAGCGGAGTTTCTCCCATCGTAGTTTCGGCCGAGATGTCTGCGCCGTTCTCCAGCAACACCTGTAACGGAGTTGTTCAGTTATAAACTACATGTGCAAAATTAACAATGATTTTGATAAGAAAAGTTCAAATGGTCCAAAATATATAAATAAATTGTTTTAAATAACAATAACACTGAAGTATTACTAGTATCTCTCTTTTCATTAAACAGATGCTCAAAATATTAGTTTTCGAAAGGCAGGTCCTTCGGAGAATATTTGGCCAAGTTAAGGAGAATGGTGAATGGAGAATTAGACGCGACCAAGAACTAGCTAACTTATACAAGAAACCGAATGTGGTGAAATATATCCGGATAGCAAGACTATGATTTTACGGACGGACGAGACCTCAATCCCAAAGAAGCTGCTGAGCACGGAGCCGGCTGGAAAAAGAAAAGTGGACAGACCGAAACTGAAATGGAGTAAGTGCTGATTCAGAATCCATGCAATCAGGAACTGGTGGAGGCTGCTCAGGACATGGGCCATGGAGGAAAACTTTTGAGACAACAAATATCCAGTAATGGATTTTCGAGCTCACATATCGATCACATTACAAAATTCGTCTTATAGGATGATTTTCCTATATTTCTATTTTCTTTAAATAGCTGTTTTTAAAAATTCTTTTTTCGAAATTATTTTTCTACCATCCAGAGGGGAAAGTGCCTCCTGGCAGAAATTTTTGGTGCTGGTCACGATAATGACTTTTTTAAAAATATTACATTAGAAATTCGTCTATGAGGGTGATTTTTTCCTATATTTCTCTTTTCCTTAAATAGCTGCTTTTTGGAACTTTTTGGAAGAGAAGGGTGCGCCCCCTACTGGATCCGCTAGTATTAGTCACGATAATAATTTTTTTTATATCACAGAATATTCGTCTTAGAGGATGAATTTTTCCTATATTTCCCTTTTCTTTAAATAGGTGTTTTTCCCCACCATCCAAGGGAGGGCGCGCCCCATGGAAGAATTCGCTAGTGCTAGTCTCAATAGAATTTTTTCTTTTGTATTACATTTGGAAATTCGTGTATGAGAATGAATTTTCCCTACATTTCTTTTTTCTTTAGATAGGTATTGTTGTCAATTTTTCGGAATTTTTTCCCCATCCATGGGAGACAGCGCCACCTAGCAGAATCCGCTAGTGCTGGTAACGATAATAGTTTTTTTTTAATGAGTGAACTTACCAACCTTTAAATATTAAATATTTTATGTGAAGGAGTAAATATTTTATATTAAATTAAATGTAAAAATCAGGCTATATACATATTTTATAATTATTTCCAAAAATTAAAATACTGTATCAATCATAAATCATTGGCTTTAATTTGTATAAAATCAATAATTAATAATTGAAGTATGCAATAATAAATATTTTAAATAGACTAATATACAAACTACAGAATTTAACAATCATTTACGTACTGCACTTTAATTTACGTACATCGTTGTGCCTGCTACCAAGTCCTCTAGATATTTTGACTTTTTCAAATGTATGTTACCGCAAAATATTAAAAGAAGGTAAATACTGATCCTAATTCACTATTTATAATTTTAATATAGTCTCCTTTCCGCTAAGCTCATCAACGAATTTCATAATTTCACATTACGTACTGTAATTGGTAACCGATTGCACTGACCTTTACGACAGCAGTGTATCCCTTCGCCGCTGCTTCTTGGAGAGGGGTTGTGTCTTTGAGACCCCTGATGTTGGGATCTTCCCCATTATGAATTAATACCTCTACCACATCAGCTCGCTGCTCTCCCACAGCTATGTGCAGCAGAGGTCCTCCTCTCTGGTTCTGAATAGTCAGAAGATGTAGGGCGCCAACAGATCCCAGGTACTTTTTTACTTCGAAGGATTTTCGACTTCTAGTTACCTGAAATATTTAATAAAATATTTTCCAACATAAATGTCTTTGTAAATAACTTAAGGAGTAGAATTTTCCCCACAATCCATAGATAAAATATATTATTGAGAAGAAACTTGAAATGCAGCTTATACTATTTAATTAATTTTATATGAACAAAACTATCTTAACTTACACTGGATCCCGAACTACATTCTTTCGAGCCTCTCTGGTTAAATTTTGAAGCCAAAGCAGAATCTTCAAATTCTGACATCTGAAAAAAGATATATAATCGTAAAAATGTAAGATTTCATTTACTTTATCAATGTATATAAGATGTAATTGGCCTGTAAAGCCAGCAGAAAAAAAATACATACTCTTTCTAGTTAGCTCTATACTTAGTGTTAAACGTACACGAGGGTGAGTACACAGGTAACTGGCAGGTAGTAGGTGCATAATAAGTGCAGGTAGTAAAGGGACTACTTCAAACCGAGTGGTGGGGGTACCTGTTCATGGAAAATTAGGAGTGGGGAAAAGTTAATTTGCAAACTTTCAACGCTGATGCTCGAACTCTACCCGGTTAACATAATCGGATTATTTAAATTAAGCCGAATAAAATGGGTATGTAAAATAGCTGGGCTTAGTAACAAAAAATCGTCTAAAGGCTGATGAGGCGATGTTGGGTTAAGACAGCACCCGGCGGATGGAAGAATGTAGACATCGTTTGATGGTATCGGCATCGAACCTTTGGGTTATTATTATTATATTAGTATATTAATTTGCACGCTTATTGAAAGTTTGATTGCTTTAGCTAATATTTGTGAATATGGGTGAAGCTAAGGTGGAACAAACAAATTTAAAACCGTAATTTCCATTAAAAAATTTCTTACAAGTGTTTGCACAATGTCCATCGAAATATTATTTAAATTATTATAGTACTTTTCTAACGTAAGGGAGCGGGGTAGCTCAGTGGTAGGGCACTGAGCTTCCAATGCGAAGGTCCCGAGTTCGAACCCCGGCTCGAGCAGAAAATTTATTTATCTATTTCATTGGCCGTGGGGCGACCTTGGGTCAGATGTCCCTCCTGGGGCACACCCAGCCTCTATAAAGTGGGTACCCTTAATTAAATAATTGATTAAGGGGGAAAATCTGGCGGTTGAGCGTGATCTCGGTCAAATCACCTCTTTGCACAACCGTTGACCTAGAAACAGTGCTTTCCCTAAATAGTACTGAACTCCAGACCCTTCATGGGTTGTAGTGGTACAGGTTTTCTAACGTAATCTGGACAACACCGTCAGCTGTATAGAATATTTTTTTTCGGTTTATTTTGTTATGGGTTTAATAAAATTATAGAGAAATAATGGGGCCGTTCTATCTGTTAGTAATAAAGAAAATGAATATCCTTTGAAATCGACATGTATGTTATTGACATTTCATTTATTTTATTTTTTTAATTTTAATCCCCAGAAGGCAGTGGATCAGCTGATCGGATGGTTGTGCTCTCAACTGGTCTCTCAGTATTTGCCTATTTTTAAGTGGAATCTCTCTGATTTTTTCATTGAATACATTTGACGTGTACACCAGAGCAGTTTATATTGCTGTTTGATACATTTTTTTATATTTTTTTTTTTAACCTTTCTTTCTTTCTTTCTTCTGTCATGTTATGCGGTATTCTCACCAAGTGATGTCCAGTAAGGTGCCTAAGAGGACTCGGTCAGACCGAGTTAACTCACCAGACAAACAAAGAACTCGTCGCTGCCTACGAGAAACATCTCCAACAACAAAAGTAAACACTTCAGATCCAGAACCTCAGCCACAACCAGGAACTTCATCTCAAGAAATGATCGAAGAATCCCCTTTCTTTACTCCGAACCCCTACGAAGTGATTCAAAATGACCGAGAGGTAATGGAGTCTGCAGCAAAACTTTTACGTTGACGTACACGCAGGTGAGGTACTATTTATTAACAATAAACAATTGATAAATTGGTGCTCATTTGGTTAGATTGAGAGGCCGTTAATTTCCTTACGTGCCTTATCATACTCCGATAAGTTCACGGCCAGGGGCTCTGTTTACTAACTTCCTTCAGTCATCAGGTCTTCAGTTCGAACCCAAGACATTATATTTACGTTTCCTTATTTTTTTTTCTTTCTTTTTTTTTTCTTTTCCAGAGACTGTTTTATTTTTATTTAAATATTTATTCTAAGAAATGTTTTATTTTATTTCTGATTATAGTTATGTATATAGTTTATTTTTTAATAGCTTATTTCGTAATCTTCAATCTTTTTAATTATCATATTTAGGAGTAAATATATATATTTTTTTTCTCTCTTTTATCATAATATGGAAGATATGAATTTAGATAAGAGTTCGTCAGGTGAAGATTCGGAGGACGAAACGCCGTTTTCTGAGGTTAGCGAAACAGATTCGCAGTATTTAAAAAGACGAACTCTTCAAAAACGTCATCGAAACACTCCTCCTGGGTCGGGAGCTAACTCACCCAATAAGAAAAAAAATAAATCAGCTAAACCTAAACAGTTAGCAGAGCAAAATAAATCTAAAAAGTCAACTCAACAAAGTAAATCTACTAAAACTAAACAATCAGCCGAGCAAAATATATCACCACCTCAAACCAGAAGCAAATCAATTACCATAACATCAGAGCCAACTGCACCAACCACCACTAACACCAATAATCCTGTTCCCGTTAATAAAATATCAAGCAAGGTTCCGGAGCCTCAAGAGTTTTCTGAGCCCGAGCCGCCACCTATTTTCATATCAAAAGTCGATAACTTCATTACATTTGGTCAAGAAATAGCCGGTCTGATTGGACAGACCAATTTCCGCTGTTTCTCCAGAGTTAATGATATCAAAATAAACACAAACTCTCGAGAAAATTACAAAGCACTTATAAATTACTTTACGTCCAAAAACTATGATTTTCATTGTTATCAATTAAGACAAGAAAAGCCATACCGAGTGGTGTTAAGAGGACTACACTCAAGCACCCCAATATCTTTCATCAAAAGTGGCCTAGAAGAAATAGGTCACAATGTTAGGCACATATCATGCGTACTACACCCAACGGAAAAATATCCTTTACCACTATTTTTCGTCGATTTAGAGCCTGCCAGCAATAACATCGAAATTTTCCAAGTGAAGAGGATTATATATTCCACCATTAAATTCGAAGAGCCTAGACAAAAGCCTATAATAGTGCAATGCACTAAGTGCCAAGACTTGGGGCATACAAAGACTTATTGTCATCACCAGGCCAGGTGCGTGAAATGTGCCGGCCCCCACGCATCTGACACTTGTCAGAGACCTCGAGACCTGCCTGCGAAATGTGCCCTTTGTGGTGAAGAACATCCAGCAAACTACAGAGGATGCAAAGTTTATAAACATTTTTATAAGCAGAGAGCTCAGAACATTGCCTCGAAAAGCGTAAAACTGAACCAAGAAAGTGTCACCCATCTACCTGAAATTGATAATCTGTCAAATTTTCCTGAATTGCCAAAAACGTCTACTCAAAATACACAGCTAGCGACTACTTCAAAAGAAATTGATCAACCTCAGCAGGACTTTAGAAAAACACCAATCACCATGAAGAAGCAGCAGCCTCAAATTCAGGCGCCTCAAATCTCCCAATGCAAACCTCAATCTCACAATCCCCAATCTCATCCTCCATCAATCCTCCTTTGTAATGCGAATGGTATTAGAAATCACGCTGACGAACTGACAGCTTTATTACTGGACAAGAACATCGACGTAGCACTAATTACGGAAACACCACTGACCAGAAAACAACATTTAAAAATACCTCAATACATAACGTAAGATATTGACCATCCTGACGGTAAAGCACATGCCACAACTGCTGTTATCCACTCACTTTCTCATCACCAGCTCCCATTACCGACACAAGATTTCCTACAATCAACCGCTATCGTAATCAAAACCTTCTCCTTTTCGGCCACCATAGCATCAGCATATTGCCCTACTAACAGATCCATATCCAATATATATCCAGTTCAGTTCTCTTCTCAACTCCTTAGGACATCATTTCATCCTGGGTGGAGATTTAAACGCCAAACACCATCAATGGGGTCCTAGAACCACGAACTCTCGTGGCAGAACATTGTTATCTGCACTCAATTCCCAACGGTTCAGTATCCTTCCTCCTAACTCATCTACCTATTTCAAATTCCAATCCTTCAACTCCTACCTTACTTCCCTCTCTGTTCATGACAATTCCCTATGGAAGATCATCAACAAAATCCTAAAATCCCATCATATTTCCCATCCCCTCCGTCGAAGCGATGGCTCCTGGGCAGCGTCTGATGAAGATAAAGCTGAGGAATTCGCCAGACACCTCTCCAGAACATTCACCTCTCATCCGGAATCCAAACTCACCCATACTAAACCAGTAGAAGAATTCCTTACATCACCCATTCCACTTTCCTTGCTCCCTAAAGCAGTTAATCCTTCTGAGATCAAACATCACTTACAAAAACTTCCTCTCCGTAAATCTCCTGCATACGACCTCCTTACCTCTCAAATCCTTCAACAACTTCCTTCTAAAGCTGTTATATTTCTCACCTACTTATATAATGCCATCCTAAGAACCACCCACTTTCCTCTTTTGTGGAAACATTCCACTATTATCCTGTTTCCGAAACCAGGCAAACCTCTCAACACCTCAACGTCCTACAGACCAATTAGCCTACTTCAGATTCTCTCAAAAATCTTTGAAAAGATCCTCCTGAAACGAATCCTACCCTTTATAGAACCCCAAAATTTTCCTTCCCATCAGTTCGGATTTCGTTCACAACACTCCACAGTCCAACAAGGATTCCGGGTGGTCGATCATATTTCCGCAGCATTGGAAAGCAAGCAATTTGGCTCGGGTGCATTTCTGGACATAGCTCAAGGTTTCGACCGGGTATGGCACGCCGGCCTTCTTTCTGAAAACCCATCTTCCTCAGTCCTTATACCTTGTTCTCCGTTCCTACCTCACAGATCGTACCTTCCGAGTTCGCTGTTGTAGTGAATTATCGAATTGATATCCAATTGAGACAGGTGTTCCTCAAGGTAGCGTATTGGGTCCCGTCCTTTACATCCTTTTTACCGCCGATATCCCTGTCCATCCCGATACCTTCCTGGAAACTTTTGCTGATGACACCGCCATTCTATCATCCGATTCAGATCCTGATATAGCATCCTTAAACCTTCAAAGACACCTCTCCCTGATTGAGCACTGGTGTAATAAATGGCG